AACACTAAAAACAATACAAACAAGTGACTATAAAGACTACACATTTTATATTTATTATAGGTGACAAAACAATTATTTTAGGAAGTGGGATTTCATATTTGACAATTTGCAACTAAATATGTCTAAATTATCGCTAACAGAATTTGACACTTTACACATGGTATGGATCGGAGAATTCTCCAAAACATGTGTGCGAGATGTTTTTATATAGAAAGTACTCGGGTGTCTGGAACAGATTCTATGCTTTTGATAATTTTATAGGTTAGTGCAACACTATAATATTCACGCATTTTTTCGAGACTGCAAAAGTTATGCTTTTGTAGCAATTCAGAGCGGGTTGTTTCTATTGGAGGATAAATGCCATCGGTTTTTAGGCTTAGCAGTTTTGAAAATCGTCGTTGAATTGCTTCTATTCTATCAATGTGATATTGATAAAAGGGGCTCCACACAACTGACGCGTATTCTAACTTTGGTCTTATAAAAGCATAGAATAAAGTTTTTAAGGTCGAAGATTCTTTGAAATCACTACTGTTACGTGCAATTAATCCGTACAAACGACAGGAGGAGGTTACAACATTATCGATATGCCTATTAAATGATAGTGCAGTGTCAAATGTGACGCCAAGATCAGTAAATGTTTCTGGTCTCACCAGGGAAACGTTTTCTATTGAATAATCACAGATCAAGATATTCGTTTTCAAACTGTAGGACATGACCTTACATTTATCCGGGTTCAGCGACAAGTTATTTCGATAACACCATTCTACAACCCGTCCTACGTTTGCTGAGGGGTTCACACAATCATTTATGTTCTCAACGAGGCAGTATAGTTTTAGATCATCGGCATATAAAAGGAAATACACATCTATAACATCTGCAATACATTAATGAATATATTGAAGAGCGACGGTCCCAGATTTGAACCTTGTGGAACACCGGAAGAAGCACTATATTCGGTAGATTTGAAACCGTTGAGCTGAACACATTGTTTTCGATTCCGTAAATACAACTGAAAGAGTGCAATTAAGGATGGAGATAATCCAAAGGCTACTAGTTTGTTCAGTAGAATGCCATGGTCAAGCCTGTTGAAGGCCTATTGTCAATAGATTCAGCAATATGTTGGGTTACAGTCAGAAGATTGGTGACCGTTGAACGATTTTTCATAAAACCGTGTTGGTTTATACTTATATTGCAACTAACATGCCGATATATAGCTCGCTCCAGCAGAATCTCAAAAACCTTTGCAAAGTTGCATATAATAGAGATAGTCCGATAATTTGAAATATCTCGTCTATCTCTCTTTCTTGAAAATGGGACAGACTTTTGATGATTTCCAGATCCTTGGTATTGTAGCCGATCTTAAGCAGATATTAATTAGTATAGATAGAGGACGAGCAAGCACAAGTGCACAATCTTTTAGAATGAAAGCTGAAATGTCATCTGGACCAGTGGTCTTTTTAGGCTTGCGCGAACTCAGTGCCTCGTATACTTCCTTTTCACTGAATCTTGATATATCAAGAAAGTGATTATTATCAATATCATCAATATCAATATCCATATTAAATGAATGACTGCACACATTGGCTGAACATATTGTTGGACAGCATGTATGCGGCTTCTTTGAATTTTCTCTTAAACCAGTGTTCCTCCCTGTGTATGTACAGACTTTTGTTTTTATACAATGCAACATAAACATTTATGAAAGTATGATTTGAGGTTAAATTTCTTCCAAATTTTTCAAAGCATTAGGTTTAAGAAGTTTTATTGGAAAAGTGATTACACCTGAGACAGTTTGTGTGTGTGAGTAATTGTTAGAGAAATGAAGCACATTATTTTTCATTTGAAATATGAACTGTGAAATTGAAGGGAATAATAATATTCCAGCGTTTCTAAGCCTTCCTGCAGCATTCTCTGTGAATTGATATATATATATCTCAATCTCCTTTACTGCGCCGCCCCCGTAAAAATCCAGCGAAACGTCCGATCCCCACGACACCCCCATAGCCCATCAGAGATAAACTCGATACCCAACACTTATCAGAAGATACAGTAGTAATAGTAACGATGAAATCTTCAGCGGGACCCGCCTTGTCGTAGCGGCGGCTTCACTTTTTTCCGGCGGCGGTACGGTAGATCCGGATGGCGGTGCCGGCGACCATCAATCATTTTCGCTGCGACCTACATCGGCGGCGGCGGCCTAACGATCGACGGTCATCGACGGCGATGACAGGGCGGCGGCACTGTGGTCTGCGTGTGTCGCGGGGCAGGCCCGGCATTATACTGGCGGCGGCTGGAAATCGGTCGAAGAAGCCACCGCCGCCGAGAGGTGCGCCGGGCGCGTAGAGTGCGTGAAGCGCGTCACTTCACTGCCGACGAGATGCGAGAGACGGCGCGCGCGGAAGGTGAGAGAAGAGTGATCGGTGGGGACGGGAAATGTATGCTCTGAGTAGTGTTGTAGTCAAATCATCGGATATAAGAATGTACCTCTGGAGAATCATGAACAAAAATTCAAAATCTTAAAATGCATAAGTGGAGAGAAAAAGAAAACGTATGGTGAACCCCAAGGGACCGTTTTGGGGCCGATTTTCTTCATAATTTACCACAATATTTTTTTTTCAAGAAATTTAGCAAATACGACTTAGGATTCAGATAAATTTCAAAGTTCTTTCTTTGAGTAATGAATATTCCTCATAAGNGCTCCCTCACCAACTGAGTACGGGTCGTGTTCGATACCCTAAACGACCCTCCACATTTTTACCCCTCGTTTTCCACCCAGTTTAATTGCACGTACGAGAATACGAAGCATTTTCATTTTTTTTTTCGTTCGTGTTAGTGCCACCTTACGGCGTAGTAGAATTTTCCCGGCCGCCGCCCCCGTCGAGGGGGCAACCCTTTCGAGGTGTTCGCTGATCCCGCATGACTTGAATTAGAACACGCACAAGAATTCGACCGTACTAAAGAATACGGACAGGCGCTTTTTTTCCTCCCCGGGTCTGGGGGCGACGCCGCGACGCGTTAGGTCGAGCGCGTCACTTTATGACGCCAAATTCGCAGTTCGTCACAAGCGTCATCAGTTTTTAATAGGGACGACGGAAGAATACACACGCGTCCGATATACGTCGATAAATCGATGAAAACGAAACGATATGAGAGAGAGAGAGGCAGAGAAGTACGGCGATTGTCCTAAGAAAAAGTTCCTGTCGACAAACGGTCCTGTCCTGAACGTCTCATGTTGTCGTAGAGCAGTCTTTCTCAAAGTGGGCGATAACGCCCCCTTCTGGGCGCTGGAGGCCTGTAGGTGGGCAGTAAAGGACACAGAGAAGATTGCTTTTAACACAAACGTTACCGCTCCTTTACGCTTAACGCGCGTTTCCTCGTGTAACGCCATCTAGGGGACTAGACGGTAACTATTACCTGCCCGATAGATGTCAAACTGTACAATAGATGGCGGTAAGCATCAATGCGAAGTGAGAAGTTTCTAGTCTCCATTCTCGAAAGTACTAGGCCCGCCCGCTGCCTCATTTAAAAGCGCGCGCGCCATCCAGCCAGTAATGTCATTCGACGATATTATGAAAACGAGTGAAGCTTATCGAGCTTTTCGACCTTTCCAATACGTATTAAACCATCTAAAACGGCATATGAGCTGGCGTCCAGTTCTTCCGCCATCTCACGCACCGTTTGTGATGGGCCAGTCCCCACCAGGGTCCGCAAACCCTCGTCCTGGATTACTGTAGGTCGATCATTTCGAGGCTCATCTTTGAGGCTGAAATCTCCGGAACGAAATTTCGCAAACGAACGTCAAGCAGTTCGTTCATTAATAATATCATTGCCAAATGCCTGATTAAACAATCGTAGGACGTTCAGCTCTACATGTGGAGTAAAACGATATCTGAAAAATCAACTTTCTAGCTCTAGTTTGAAAAAACATTAGTGTTCTGTTCTGTTTTTTCGTTAACCGGCTGTCGCACCCCTACGAACGACAACCCTCAGAAGTCGAAACTTGTCGAGCTAAGGATGAACGAGGTCTTACCTTTTAAGGTGTGATTCCATTTCCCGCTGAACCGGTGAAGTGAAAATAGGAGATAGTGAAAGTACCTACTCGAATGACCCATAAATAGTCATCTCTCGGAGGAATTAGTCCAGTTAGCATCACGAAGACGAATGTGGATACTAACAATCAAAACTTCGTGAAGTAATTTTTTATTTTTTCATTTGTTGTTTAATTGTTATATTTTCACTTCTATTTTATTTCACTGAACTTTCATTTCAGGGTTTTTTGCCTTATGTAATTATTATTTTCAGCTATTCTTTTTTAATTTTTCTTTTTTATTGGTTTTTTCGGGGATAAGATAAGAGAATGGAAGTCCGAACTAATGAAATTCATCATGAAACATTGTCAATCACCTTCAAACAAAAAATCAAATATTGATAAATCCCAATATTGATGAACTCCAACAATTTATTGTGGTTTAAAATTATACAGTGTGACCCATTTTTAATGGAAACACCCCCCTAAAATTTGAAGTTGTAAATCGATTTTAATAACTTTTTTTTGAAATGTCAGGTACTAAAAGGTCTACCTTGGGACAAAATTTGAAATGTTTATTAAAGTTTCAGGGCATACTACGATATTTTTTCTTAGTCGAAAATC